CCCCTACAAGGTCAAATTTTCAGTGAGATTGTCACTCTTGCGGTTGAGCTGACGCGCGAAAGTCGCGTCCGGACCGCGTTCGCTGCTGGTCACAGTCCGCCGGTCGTCGGCTTCCATCTGGGAGGGAGGAGTACAGCGCGTCGCTTAGCAGTGGGTGTACGTGCCGTTGGAGCGACCTTGGCTTGCGTCGAGCTTCGAAATCGCCCCTGACCCCTCCTCGGATGACACTACCTCAACGCTGCTTTTGTGCTGCTATCAGGAGAGCGCACACTTGTCGGTGACATCGGACCTACGTAGAGATCCGTCTCCGTGGGACTTTGAAGTCGCTGACCCTTCGGTAGATCCCTTTCCAGAGGCGCGAGATACGCCACGAATGCCGAGATGGCCTTAATATACAACTAGGAGGGAGCTCCTTATGCCAGGAGTGCTGCTATCAGGAGCGCATACCTGTCGGTGGAATTGGCTCCACGTTGAAACCCATCTACGTCGAGTCTCCGTGGGGCTTTGAGACCGCTGACCCTTCGGCATATCCATCCTAGGGGCGTGGAATACGCCAAAGCTAAGAAGATAGCCAACAATGCCGTTCCTGAACGGCTACCAGGATTGGCACATAGTAGTGGGCCGTGAGGATTACCCGGGTAATGGGGAAAGGCACGAGACCTGCTGGGCAGAAAACCCATGCAGAAGACAACGTACAAGCTGACGCGCACCTTACGTTGACAAAAAAGCATTTTTCTATTATAAATATTTAGACACTTTTGATATTTTTTTTTAAATTTTTATTCAAGTATGGCCACTCAAAAAGCCAAAAGATACTGCATAGCATACGGGTGCTTAAATAACAATAGGAATGTCGACTTTTTATGTTCCTAAGGATACCGAAAGTTAAGATATTATTTATAGGCATATATCCAGATAATTAGGTACCTAGTTACTGGCTCCATAGTTACAGGTTTATTATTTGACTAGCGACCCGACCACAGCTTCGCAGTTTTCGATTTTTTCGCGTAATATGTTAATGACCTTAAATAAAAGTTTAGTGTAAGTAGACCTCCCAGCACTAGTTACTGCCTACTAATGGAAGATCAGCATTTACTAGTTTGTTGTTAAATACTTGGTCGATAAAAGAAAGAGATTGATAATAGTAGCACTTGCTATTGCCACTCTTTCATTAATAATGAATATACTACTACTATGCTATAAAGGGTAATTTATGAATTTTATTATAATTTCTAGCAACCAAAATAATTTTATTCAATAGTTTATACATTCAACAAGAATTCCTGTAAGTTTTATCCATAAATATTGTCTCAAAGTGAAAATATAGCAAAATTTGCAATATAGCAAAAAATTTGCTAACCTGTAAAGTCGAGCAAGCTACACATGTGTATCAGACATAGACATCTTTCCGCTCGCTCGATCAAGATACACATGTGTACCACAAGTACTACCCTTTCAAAAATATTTTTTTTAATTAAAACAAAACCAAAGACACTATGCAATAGATAATAGTATCAAAGACAAAGATATGCTCTTTTATTTTAAACCATAACCTGGCAATGTTTCTTAGAAAAAAAAAAAGAAATCACTCTGAACTTTCGGCGTTCCACGTGTCGCTTTGATGAAGGTGCTCCGTCTTTTTTATAGAATTTTATATTTGTGTCTGGACTAAAAACGAAAGCATTATACTTTTTTATATTCCTTGTAATATAGTAAACACGTAGATATATAATTTGTGGTATAAAAAGTGAAAAGTAAATTACCAAAAGTACTTCGAAATACGGAACGCCCATTTTGGCGGTTGGGTCATAAATGTGTTATTTTTCCAATTCTCATTTATTTTTAGTGTAAAATGTAAGTAAAAATAGTTTTCTTACATATTTCAAATAACTTGACGTTGTATTTATTTCAAATTCACACAAAAATATTTTTGAAATATTGTTCGAAATGTCATACAGATAAATATTATTATTATTATTTTTTTAATTTTTAAATATTTTAATATTTTGGTATGAGTAACGAATAGAAAGACATAAAACATAAAAATATACATATTTCCAAACATTTTCATATAAATTTCTCCAAAAACAAAAGTGTAGAATTCAAATTAGTAGTAATTTTGGCACTAAAAGTGCGTCGATAAAAAGAAAGAGATTGATAATAGTAGCACTTGCTATTGCCACTCTTTCATTAATAACGCCGTCGCGTGTCGCATGTTAAATTAAAAATGTAATATTGTAAATAGTAAAAAAAAGCGAAACGGAAAAGGTAAAACATCTGAGTTTTAAATACGTTCACGTTGTTATAATCTTAATTTTTCTAGATTGCATTTTAACCTTCCTCACATTGAATACTAATGTTCTTACTATCAACTAATTACTAATAAATTGCATACATTGCATAACACCCCGATGTATTCAACTACCAAATAATATCAAAGGATTCAATTTGTTTTCTCACAACACCTATTCCTACCGTAGGTGCCGCCTTAACAAATGCGCATAACGGGCTAAGCTATACAGACACTCGCACGCGGACGTATGGTGCATTTTGATTTCATACGCGTGCCGCATTAATTTTTTTTTTTCGACGATTTAATCGGTAGGCTAATTTCACCAAGGTCGCTTCCGAAGCGTGCAAAGTATTATGAAAATTAGTGATGTTATAACTAGGTATAAACTCGCAAGTTTGCTATCAGAGAGTGTTCCTATTATTTCCTATTATTTATTCTGTGGTAATACTTACATTTAAAAGGCACAACATAAACAATTCCCGCCCTTAGCATAACTTCTTAAAAACACTAAGCTACGACTAACGGGAGTTGTTGATCATTATTTTTATTCTAGGTATTTATAAAACAAATGATTTAATAATTTATTTCAATTTCTACAATAATAATATTAATAACTATTTTTGGTGTTTTATTCCTAAAATTAATACTAACAATCATGCTTTAAAATTTCAAAGTTGAGTGATTAAAATATCGATTATTTTATTAAGCGCTATAGTCTCAAAAGGCCTTGATTTCGTTGAGAAAGTGTTTTAATACGTGTGTCGCAGCTCGATATTATATTAATTCTAGTCATAAAATGCAGGTGATCATAAAATTGATTAGTTTCTATAAAAATAATGTTTTAAATTTAATTGCATTATATTACTATTTACAAATCCATTTCATCAGTGTTGTTAAAATTATGTCAACGCATTTTTGAATCGGAAAAAATTATACGAATTGTTAACGCCATATTGCGAAATGACTCTTAGCGGAGCTGTAGCAGGAAAAGGGATTATATTTAAGCGACTTGGAGTCACTGATTCAGCAAAAGGCTGAATAGCAATATACTGAGATTACCCTGGACGTTAAATGTTATACAGAGCATTTTTCGACTAAAAGGTTTTGCATTTCATTAAATTAGGCATATACATGGCTATGGTATACATAGCATAGGTCTAGTCGTCATAACAGAGCTGCGACTGCGATATTATATAAAAAATAGTAAAAGAAGAATAATTGTTCTTTGACAATTATGTATATACATGTTTTCTCTCATTTCTGAGAGGGTGGTCAATCAATTTAAACTATACTAATTAACGTTTTATTTACTTTCTATCAAATAATACTTATAATTGGAGTTTTAGCGGGAACTTGACCACAAGCGTATTTCTGCACCTGTGTCTACTATTCATTCATCCATTACAGCCTATAAAAGTCTACTGCCGATAATAGGCACCCCTTACCTCATAGGGAGATTTTGTCATAGTTGCCACGCTTGGCAAGCGGGTTGGCAGCCGCAGTTTTTAATTATTTTGAGTTATTATCGGGAAGATACTGTTGCTCGTCACCTGTTTCGTTTTCCCTCTGTCGACTCTTACGACACCCTCGGGATATTCGATCAATGAGGTTATTGATCGAAGCTCAGGATGTAGATGTGTAATCTATACAAATAAATAAAATTGAAGTGTCTATTTGCAATGTCAATATAAAAGCTTTTTACTAAATGCATATTATATACGGTACTTATAACAAAAAAAAAAACAAGTTTTAAAATTTCTGTCTGTATATTCTTTTCGGCTAATCTCCGAAATAACTGGACTGATTTTGACGGGACTTTCATACTGCAAATATCTGATGTTATAAGGAGTAAGTTAGGCTACTTTTATTTTAGAAAAATAACTAGGGTTTCGCGCAAAAACATTAAATCTCATAAAGTCCAATCGTAATAAATTCCATGCGAACGAAGTCGCAGGGAACAGCTAGTAAATAGTAATAAAATAATAAATATAATAGATTACCCTTTTACTGGTAACAAGTCCTCAGAGGTGACAATGCGTCTTGCATTTTGATTCTGAATCGATGATAGATTATAAATGCCTATGTGCAACAGTATCTAATTACCATCAGGTGGACTGTGTGCTTGCTTGTCATCCTTATTTTATCAAAAAAATATGTTAAAGCATCTGATCTTGGAATTTCATATTATGAACAACAGGAACTGATACTATGTAAGAGTACTGTATCCATCACCGTATGGATTAATAAATAGTTAGCAATGACTTCGGACGGAATTGAAATACCTCTGTCATATTCATACACTAAATACCGAAATGTAATATATAAGGCTGATAAAATTCATATATTTTTTTCTATACGTTTCCCACGTTTAATTCATAAAAATAGCGCCACAGTATTTTTGACAATGGCAAAATATTCTTATTTAGGTTTTTACCCATTCATAAATCATCAAATTTCCTACTTAAAGTACATAATATTACATTTACATTTTTATAATCTAACATTTGTGTTTACTTATTTCTTTTTCAAGTCTATAACACTTCATAATATTTTGTTCTCAATAATTAGAAACAGATTTTATATGCAGTCTACTTATTATGAATTTTGTTAGTGAAAAATATCAACATGGAAATTTACTATTTCTTTATAAGGATCATAACAATAATGCCTACAAAAAAAATCATCAAGTAAATTTACTAACTAACTGCTAATCAGGTGTCCTAGTTCCCGGCGGTTCGTCACCAAAACAATGTTTGTGCGCCGGATCTCTGTATGAGTTCTCATGCAACACACTGTGCGAACTAGTGCGGCATTTAGCCAGGCACAGCTCATAGTCGTCGGTTAATGAGCGAAATAACACATTCTCTTCTGCAGAAAGTTTCGACAAAACTAATTCCAGCATGTCTCTCTGAAAAAGAAAATTAAAAATGCTTAATGTCCTGAAATGAATTCTCATACAAGTACATACACACCGTACATAAATTATTAAGATGAAAATTAATGATTTCTAATATTTACATGAACACTACACATTAAATGAAACCAATTTTACGGATTTTATAGCATATAGCTTTAACTTTTTAATTTCCGACGTTTCAGGTGTTTTACGGTACCCATGGTCATGAGGGGACCTAATACGCTTGTTACTCAGAGAAGTAGGCAAAGACAATGGTCTTCCATTTAGTACGATCTTGACTCACCTTTCTCTCTTCTTTAACATCCTTATACGTAAGGTGCACTTAATTTGGCCCATCTTCAATATGTCATCAATTTGGTTTATAAACTACCATCTATGGTGCCAACTCTGCCACTCACTTCTGTAGCATAATTTTGCTTTGTCACTCTTTCTGCATTCATTTGTTCACATTTCTCAGTATCACAATGCTAGTAGTGTTATTCACCAGTTGTTTGTATATACAATAACGGATGTTTTTTGTTGATATTCTTTGGCTCGACTATGGTACTATGACTTCTATGGTATCCATGATTGCCATGCTTGGCAGGCGGGTTGGCACCTGCACTTTTTTATTATGATTATTAAGTAGTTATCAGGAAGATTGTGCCGCCCATCATCTTTCAGGTTTCCTCTGCTACTCCTTACCACAACCCGGGAAGATAAAACACAATGCAGTGGATTCTCTTACACCACCACAATTCAGCACTAACCCCATTGTTATAAATATACCTTGAGCCCATTAATTCATTATGTCACATAGTTTATTGCTGTTCGGTCAATTATTGATAAATTTAACCCACATATTGTTGTAGTTAATGATGACAGGTAAATGTCAGAAAAGACTTGTAGGCAAGATTTCTGTCAGTTTTTAAGATAATCAAGTTTCTGTGACATAATAGTTTTTTTTATATAGAAGAGGGGGCAAACGAGCATGCGGCTCACCTGATGTTAAGTGACTACCGCCGCCCATGAACAACCGCAACACCAGGGGAATTGCAGGTGCGTTGCCGGCCCTTTAGAAATGAGTAAGCTCTTTTCTTGAAGGTCCCCAGGTCGTGTTCGGAAAACCGGGTAAACTATTCCACAGATAGGTTGTACGCGGAAGAAAACTAATTTTGAAACGTACTGTGGTGGACCGCCAAGCATCCAGATAGTGTAGATGGTATCGGGACGTTTGCCGCGTGGTGCGTTCACGAAATTTGGCGGCTGGGATTAAGCCGAACAATTCCTCAGAGCACTCTCCATGGTATAGGAAAGAAAATGCAAAGAGATCCCGCGCTCTTCTTTCTGGAAGGAGCTGGTACTGAGATAGTTTTTAGAAGTCAACAAAATTGCTACTAATTTATAACTTACTGGGTAATACTAAATGCTACTTAATGCTAAATGCTCTATAAACATATCAGCAATGATGAGATACCTGTGCGCAACAAGGGGATGGAAAAAGACAAAGAAAGGAAACTTTACATTAATTTCTAATACAAGTAAATCTAAGCAAAAACAAGAGTAGCATAATGATGCTTCCCATCACCTCTGCAGTGTACACCCATCATCAATCATTGTTTTATCCAGATATTTTTTATAGCACTACGGGTGAAAACAAGCACACAATCCACCTGATGGTAATTATAATAAAAACTTTTCTTATAATAATGTGGCAGCGCTGTCGTCGCGCCGCAAGCGAATCACACCGAAGCTTAAATCACGCTATTAACATTCCGAATCATAAACAGCATATATAGAACATCTCCGAACTATCACACGGAGTGTTGGCCGCTCCCCGGGCAGAACACCTTGCCTGGTGGGAGATCTCCCCTTTTCCTTTCACGGCCGCAGTGGTGACCCCGACGTGATATGAACACGCAACAAACAACCTTCGGAAACTACAACTTCAAGCCTTCGTCAATATCCTCAAGAACCCCTACCAGTCACTACTGAGAATCGTCTTCTGCAGTCTTCAGTTCCTGCAAGCCAGTCCAACTTGTCTTCATCTCGACTCACCGCAGATTTATAAGGCAGACTTCTGGCACTTGCTCCGGCACATCGTTCTCACCGGCATCACTTGCCAGTGCGTAGTACGGCATGCATTACACATCGGCATATTACTCGCACCGGTGTCACTTGCCCTTACGCACACAGCATGCATTCCCCACCGGCATTAAAAGGACACACCGGCAATCGGACTGCACTATCGACCTCCGGTCTGAGCAGGGGGGTGATGTGGCGGCGCTGTCGTCGCGCCGCAAGCGAAACACACCGAAGCTTAAATCACGCTATTAACATTCCGAATCATAAACAGCATATATAGAACATCTCCGAACTATCACACGGAGTGTTGGCCGCTCCCCGGGCAGAACACCTTGCCCTGTGGGAGATCTCCTCTTTTCCTTTCACGGCCACAATAACGTCCTCCAGACCGAATTTCGGTCACGGTGGCTTATCTCAACGACAACTAGACATCTGCGCCAAACAGGATTATAATGTACAAGCGTGGTATGCTACACTCGCTATTACATCACTCTCATAGCTCGTTGGGATGGCATTCTTTGACACAGCTGGTTGTGGTCCTCCAACGGCTTTACATGCTTTACGACATGGGGATGAAACAGCACCAACTTTCTGAGGCTAAGCTGCTACAATAACTAATTTTGGGTGAGATTTATTACACTGACCAATAAGTAACAGACTTAATTTATAAAGCTCTATCGTTTTAATTTTTTCAATAATTTTTATCTTAATTCAATATTATTGGGCATTTTTAACTGTCTGCACATTATGAATAATGCCCTATTAATCACTTGATCTATAAAAGCTATATTTTTTTAATATATTTCTCATCTATATACCTAATATAGTGTCAAGGAAGAAAGTCTTAATTTATTTAAATCTTATTTTTATGTGATATTATACAATTGAATGCCTTGTATAGTATAAAAAACTAAATTAATTAAATTATAAAATCACCATTTAACTATTGCCATGACTACTCAGAGGATGATTTTTTTTTCATGCTAAGCTACTAGGGGTATAATTTTGAAAAAAAGAATACTTTGCTTTATTTCGCTCCATAGTCTTCAATAGTATCGCCAAATCAATACTGCCTCGGTCGCGGTCCATAACACCTTTATATAGGACCTTTTCCACCGAAACATCCCGAATGTTCGAGCACATACCAGTTCCAACCGACTCAGTGGAGAAATTTATCTCCTAGTTCTGCCACTCGATACTAGATGGCGCTGAAGATGGAAAGTTGGAAAGCATTGCATTTTCCAGAAAGCTCTTCTCCTTTGCTGCCCGACACTAGATGGCGCTAGGTGCATTATGATGGCTTGCAACACTGCCCCCTCCTAAGACATGCTCATCCCGAGCATTATCTGCCCCATAATAATGCGGCAGTCGATCCACATGGACGATCTTAGAAGTACCTATTGTATCCAGTAGGTTACATCATTTATCCTTGTCACAATCCAGTATGGTCCTTCCCATTTAGCTTGAAGCTTAGGAATTTCCCTTTGCTGCGGACTGGATTGTGCAACCACACTAGTGAAACCTTTGTCAAACCCCTTGTCGTTATTTTGCGGTTATACCGGGTTTTCATCTGTTTAGACATTTGCTGCCCCGATTGTCTGACATGCTCATTAATATCATTCATTTTGCTCCGCAAGTCATTTGCATAATCGATTACACTGCGTGGGGCACCAGGTGATATTCCGGTGATTAGGTCTGCAGGTAGCCCTAATTCTCTTCCAAAGTTTGCGAAAGCTGGTGTCACTGATGTACTTTCGTGAACAGCGCTTCGATATGACAACAAAAACGGTTGTATGTTGCTTGTCCTAATCTTCTTCTTCTGGACACTTAGTAAAGTAATCCATCACAACCATGAAATACTTGTTACCACTTTCACTTTCCGGAAACGGCCCCGCCACGTCAATGGCTATTCTCTCCCACGGTGCACCAACATTGTACAACTTCAATGCATCTCTACTACGAGACAGGTCCCTTTACAGCCGCACAACTTGTACATTTGCGCCACAAGTTCTCGACACTGTCTCGACAGTGAACCCAGAAACCGTTCTCGGATCTTCAGTAGAGTTCGTTTAACTCCCAGATGGCCTCCTGAACAACCATTATGGTACAGCTGTAGAACATCTGGTACTTTAGCTTTCGGAACAACCATTTGCAAATGACTGCTGTCGCCCCGACCATTTTCCCATTTACGACACAGTACTCAATCCTGAAGCAGCAAGCTGTCCCATTGGATATAGCCTTTCGTGGTTAAGCTCATCACAGACATCGCCCCACTTAGGCTTGGGAGCACTGGCCCTCATCCATTTCAGAATTGGCTTGATGTCCGAATCTTCCTGCTGTGCATGTTATAGGCTGTCCTTCCTTTCTTTGCTGAGGTAGTCTGTCCTAAGCATCCTCAAAGATACCACTTCCTTACCCTCTTGCCTAGTACAGTGCTTGTATTCTTGAGTACAAAGTCTACTTGACAATGCATCTGCGTTGTAATGAGATTGCCCGCTGCGATGTTCGATCACAAAGTCGTATTCGTGCTGCTGCTGAATGGTGCTGTTCGCCGCACAACTCCCTGGAGATCGATCACCTTCCCTTTTTACAGTTCGCTTAGGGCAGCTGGATCGAAGATGGCCCCTTTCCCCACAGCCGTAGCACCTTGGGCGGTAACTTTTATTGCGGTCACGGATTCTAGTTGCTGCAACCTCCCAGATGCGATGGGAACGATGATCCTGCTGCACGGCTTCCACCTCCAGTGCATGGGCCAAGGCTCTCTTAAGCGTCACGTAGTGCCCGGGCATCACAGCAGCTCTAACTTCCAGGTCGCGGATGCCGTCGATGAATGTCTGCACCAGGTTCCCTTTAATGAGCGCAGGTACACATCGGTATGCTTTTCGAACCAGCTTCTCCACCTCAAGGGCCTATCGTTGCAGGTTTTCGTTGATGCGTTGGACGCGATCCTTAAGCTGCGCACGCAAGACGTGTTCCAGGTGGGCGTCACCATATCTAGCCTCAAGAGGCTGCTTGTAAGATACTTCCTTACCGAGAGCTTCTAGAATAGTTAAGACCTGGCCGCGCAGGCCTAGTATGAGAGCAATCACGCCCTGACTTTTATTCCAGCCGTTCGCCGTCATAACAGCCTCGAACTGGATTTTGTTGGCCGACTAGGCTGGAGTCCCGTCGAACGGCGGCACTTTGAATCCACGTAGTGAAGGTGATGTAGCTACCACGGAAGCTGTTATTCCATCCCCAAGTTTGAGGTCGTCAGCATTTCTTCGTGTCAGCCATCACTTTGTTCACTTTGTCGATTCGGGTTTCAGCTTCCGAAAGGCGTTTATCATACTGAGCAACCTTATTCTTCACCTCCCTTATCTCTTTTCCGAAGGTAGCGTGAAAGTCCTTCATGAGGAGCATCTGCTCTCCCTTATCGCGTTTGAGCTGCTCTTCCAAACGACGGGCCTGTTCTTCCTGTCTGTGCTCTAGCTGCCTTTCCAACCGATGGGCATGTTCCTCCTGCTGCTCTTTCAAATAAAGGGCCTGTTCTTCCGGTCGGCGAACCTGCTCCTGCAGCATCATCATGAAAGCACCTAAGTCAGGTGCTGCAGGTGTAGGAGCTGCTGACGGGCCGGCTTCCTTGGCGGGCAGTTGGCCCTCTGACGTCTGCGGCGTTGCACAACCAAATCTTCTCTGATCCGTCTCCTGCTGGCGTTGACTGGGTACGGACACCCTTCGTGTCGTCCTTCGGTAAAATCGGCATGATTTTATCCCACTTCTGACACCAATTGTTAGGAGCTTAGGGTTTGTGACAATAAAAACTGCCGTTACCAAAGTTGACACTTTAATTACCGAACACCAATTAAAACTTAAAACCCACTAGTGATTAGTCACACTTAGCACTTCAGTTCACTTTATTTTGCTCCATAGTCTTCACTTGTATCGGCAATTCAATACTGCCGCGGTCGCGGTCCTAATCGCCTTTATATAGGACCTTTTCCACTGAAACATCCCGAATGTTCGAGCACATACCGGTCCATACCGACTAAGTGGAGAAAGTTCTCTCCTATTTCTGCCACTCGATACTAGATGGCGCTGGAGATGGAAAGTTCTAGCGTGGCACTTTCCAGAAAGCTCTCCTCGCTCTGTTACACGACACTAGATGGCGCTAGGGCTTGCAACAATATGTAATAATCAATATGCCTTTCTTATGTGGGCCAGTTATGAAATTTCACTTGCCCATAAGTGACAGGCAGTGTAACTACTACTAACAGTCAGTCATCGGAGACAGGGCAGTTGTGCGGTGTACGCACGGTGACGCGGGCAGAGCTGTCCACTAGGGTTGTCTTGTCGCACAAATAAATAAAAATGGTTCAACCTACATGTGTGGTCAAAAACTGTCTGTCCTATATCCTATTTTTATTATTTTGAACACTAACTATCTCATTAAGTTATTTAATTTGGTTAGGTGTGAAATAAAATATAATCACTTTTTTTTTTATTACTTCCCATACTGACAATCCTAGCAATTTATTGTTTATGTCGTCGGCTTTTCCGACATCAAACATGATGATTGACTGTGTGTACTTTTAAGGCTGTGTTAATAGTCAAAATGCCTGTCAAATGTGGCAGTTAGGAGAATAACCAGAAATGAAGGTGAGGTTTATAAATAGTTTTGTTTAGGTGGATAAATAAAATGCGAAATAATTGGCAATAATTACCTTGCTAGGATCTAAGCAACATGAGACACAGTATTCGTAAATAATACAACAATTGTTATCTTTACAAGTTTCACAGCTGTATCTAGTTGTATCCTCAGCTTCTGTATTGCAACAGCCAGTTTTAAATAGATCCTTCCGCCTACATACGTAACCTGAAAAAATAAATAAAGTTTATTATTTATCTGTCCGATCTTTTGAATAGTGTAAAAGATTATTGATTTCTATTATTATTCATAATACTTTTTCTGAAATAAAACTACACTTAATGTTTTCAATGTTATTGTGGCAACGAGAAGGTTAATAAAATTTTGACAGAACATAATATGTATTTGTATTTTCTTAATTTAACCCCTCAATCCCAACCGACCGCACCCACCCACAGCACTTAAAACCATTAAAACTTATATTTAGAGACTACTTTTCTATGAAGAAGTTTGGCATTATAAAATCTATACAAAATTCTTTATCTTAATATATATAAATTATGTGTCATGTTGTTTGTCCATTGTCATTGTCATGTGTTGTCAAATTTGCACACTGTATGTAATTTGGTTCAACTTGAGAGATGGGATAGTTTTTTGCCCATGCGTGACCCATAATTTTTTTTTTGCGAACTTAAGGGTTTTTAATAGGACATGACACAGGGTCATCGAAAAGGGCAGAACAACATCTGCCTAGCAAGCTAGTATCAATATATGTTACTCGAAATTATTTACATAAAAAGATAATTACAATTTTATAATAAAACACTAGAAAAATCCAAAAATTAACACAATAACATTCATGCGAAAATGGCATACAAAATCATTGAGTTATACAACACTAGAGGAGCAAACCATATTACCGCGCGTCGAAAAAAAGTGTAACCACTATCCATACGCGACGACGTAGCTTTGAAACTAATAACAATTTTAAATAAACATATATCTATCTCACTTACACAAGTTGCGAAAACAATATCGTCGCTAAGATTAGATAAAGATAGACACACAAACATGCAATGGCGGGTTGGTGTGGCATACTATATGAAATTTTACCTAAAATACGCAATAAAAATGAGTTTTTTTAAGCTGCAGTCAATTGTTTTTATATTAAAAAAAGTACTTATAAATCAAACAATATAAAATAGGTAATAAAATATAATTAATATAAAATTTATATTAAATTATAAATAATATAAAATTATTAATATAAAATAGGTAATAAAATATATTTAATAGATAATTCATGAATAAACTAAAATATGAATAATTAATTATTTTGTATGAAAGTTAAAACGTAGTTTTTATTATAATTTCCAAAATATTTAAAATCAGAGGTAACAAATTAGCTTACTCCATTAATTAATATAGTCTCCCATTAATGTAGGATAATCACAAATGCGGAAAAGTGGCAACATTGAACCTAAATGGCAATATTCGATAATTTTATTTAATTATTTGAGGTATTTTACGTTTATATGAAAACAAGAACTAAAAATTATGTGTTGAAAGTGATTCCGCTTGATTTATTACGTTTTTGTGACCTTGAACAGCATTCTTTCACTACGCATTTACCCATTTTTATCGCGGCTCAACTCTGTCGGCGTCACATTGAACAATGAACTCACGTTAGCTAGGCATATGGCTGTAGCCATATGTGCAGTGGCAACGCTTTGGCGCGGTTATTACTGATCTAGTGTTATATAAATCAATGTACAAAATGAACATAGATTATAAATAAATATCCATAGAATAACTTGACTTTTTATTGCACTAGAGGCTAGAAAATTTCATATTGATTCTATAATGCCAAATTTCTTCATAGAAAAGTAGTCTCTAAATATAAGTTTTAATGGTTTAAAGTGCTGAGGGTGTGCGCGATCGAATCTGACAGCTTGAATTTTGACGGAATAGCGCCGCGGTCGAATTCAACCGCTTGGGGACTGAGAGGTTAACCACTTATGCAAGGAACCCTTATCTAGTAAATACTTAATGTCAAATCCTTTAACAACTTAAAATTTTTTTTAATGATAATGATACTAGATCATCATGAACCAAAATTAATCAAAAACAAAATATTCAGAAGGTTAATAAAAGTTTGACAGAATATAATATTTGCGTTTTCTTTATTTAACCACTTATGCAAGGAACCCTTATATAGTAAATATTTAATATCACAAATGCTTTAACTACTTGAATTTTTTTTAATAAATCCTACTGCCAACCACAGAGCTAAGTACCTTGGATTGGCTGAGGTCTCTCCCCAATATCATTGAATTGTTTCATTCCTGCCCACATGCAAAAAACTTGAATAATCAAATTAACATATCTTAAAAAAATGTAGACTGTACTGAATGGTCATTATATAAAACAAGAAAATAGCTATTAATAACTACATAAACTATCTATGCTATTGCATTTACCTCTGTCATCTACAATGATTGACTTTCCCTGTACAGAGTTTCTGCAAGTTATCAAGTTATTTGTATCATTATGTTCCTGAAGAGTTCTCCAAACAAAAGGTTTTTGTGCTATTGATATGTCCTGGTACACCATATTTCTGTTGTGGCCCTGAAAAGATATAAGTAATGATATTGTACCTAAACCCAAATAAATTTAAATTTACACAACCATGTTTTTATTTGGTTCCTTATTTGCCTCGTGATTCGAAAACAAATCAAAAATTAAGTTTTATTAAAAGTTCATTATCTTCCTCGTTTCATTCGGAAAGTGCATTATACCGCCATATATATATATCAAAGTTAAGGTATTATCTTCTAATGGTAATTGAATGTGTCAACAAAACAAATGTTATTTTCCCATAATGAGTAAGTGCAAGTTGTGACCAGTTTACGGCGTGCGGAAATCACGGCGATTCACAAAAAAGTAAGCAATTATCTAAATTATCCTTAATTTAGAGGTTTTGCGTAATTTATTATAAAGTTACATAGTTTTAAAATATGTTTGTGTAATTATATAAACTAAATGATTGTATTCAAATACCTAAAAGCTATTTTTAAAATCAGTGTTTCAAAAACTATACACTGGGAAAATATACATATATATATAATACTTTTTACGCGGTAGAGCCAGGTGCAGTTGTATTAGTAGTAAAGTTGTAGCACGAATGGGTCGGCTTGCCCGGGGAAGGACCACACTCTCACAAAATACCAGCATCAAATAGTAGCTTAATGTTGCTGTGTTTCGTATGGTGAGTGTAGAGAACCGGAGACCCTTTTAACTGGAAACGAGGCATTCCACCTAAGTCCTGACGGATGACAACGCATCTGCATTTTGATTTGTAATCGAGGATAAATGTAGATGTCTATGGGCCGCAGCAATCACTTACCATTAGGTGGACTGTGTGCTTGTTTGTCATCTTATCCTATAAAAAAAATATGTATGTAATATACTAAATAAATATTTTTTTTATTTCAGATGGAGCAGGCTGTTATCAACCAATAAAATCGTTGATGTTGTCCATAATTTGGATTCAGACGATGAAGCGACAGGTATAGACATTTATATTGATCCCCCTTAGATGGATTAGTTTCGGACTCCAATTCAGGCGACAAACAAATGTAAGTTTCGACAATTTATCATGTAGACAACTTCTGGCTCCTGCTGACCTAGTTCTTCATGGGAATAAAGACAATGATAACAGCGGCTCAGAAGATGATCTTTCGCTTTCAGCCCTAGCTAGTCGAAACACAACATCGGACGTGCCTTTATCGAGTCAACGAAGACAACCACAAGCCAGTAAGTGGGTGAAACGAAAAGTATGGCATAGAATCTCTGAGAACAGCAAGTAGGTATTTAGCCGCGCAAAAGGCAAGAGTGTATGTGCCACAACCTGATTTTGTATTTCAATACATTCGCTATATGGGTGGCGTGGATTTAGAAGATAATGTAGGCACTTACAGGATTGCAATTAGAGGCAAGAAGTGGTATATCCCCATAATTTTCTGGCAAATGCGCAATGATGTAGACAGTAGAATTTCGGCGTAGCATTGCTCGAACCTTGCTCCAAAAGTACGGCATTGATAAATGGCAGCTGGGTCCTTCTAGAAAGATTTCTACAACTGTACCTTCCTCAGTGCAAAAGTTTAATGCTGAGCACATGATCGGCAGATTACCAAGGTGCCTGCTTTGTGGTTACTGCAAAAGCTTGACGGTAACTTACATGCCAAATGTTTTATAGCGTTTCATTTAAACTGTTTTATATATATATATATGTGTGTAAACTAGTAATATCTAATATTATATAGATAAACACAGAAATATATATACCTAAACACAGAAAAATGTTGTTTCTTTACTCATAGTAAATGTATGGGAAGTGCCCAATGTTTCATTTTCGAATAATTGAAAAAAAGGTACATAACAAATTGCAACCATCATGAAACTAATTATAACATTATTAGAAATTTATTAACACTAACATATCCAAAATTTAGTATAATCGGAAGTCCAAAATAGTTCTGAGCGTAAAGAGGGTCTTGATCGTTTTCGAATCAGTGGGCAAATATGGGTTAAGCTTATTAATGATGTAACCAATTTTTTTAATCTTGCATAAAATATACATAATAACTCCACCTCTCTCAAAAAACTGACGATACAATAAGTGAGTGAAGAAGCAAATATAATGCCCAGTACTAATCTTCTTCGTATGAAACGCACTAAAGCTGCATACCACATGGTCAAATCTTCGTATTTGCTCTCTAAACCTGAGCATAAACTAAAATTATATGAAATAAATATAGTAAATAATATCATTTTTATGTATGCAACTATGCCTTCTTTTTTTGTCTTATCATCTTAACAATTATTAGTTAAACACTAGCACAACAGCACTTCATTGAAAAAGTTCTGTAAAACAGTAGAATAAAACACGGAGTATAGTACTGCAGTCTAAAACAACTCCAATTTTAGGTTTTCTTTTCTTTAAACAAACATAGCTATTAGCTAATCAGCATAGCATCATAGCGAATTCACTACTACATTGACCCCAAAACCCAATACAGTGCATTAAACAATGCAAAATACAAAAACAAATTCAGTGCAATGTGAAATGTTTGTGATGTGTTTGAGATTGAGAAACTTTGTCGTACAATTTTGAAACGATAATGACATTGACAGCTGACAGGTGACAGCTGACACAAAGCCAAAGCCAATGCTGCGGTGCCGGTATGGCCAGCGTATACACGGCCCCTATACACGAAGGCAACATTCAGTTACGATCGAAACATTTTTCGAGATTGAGGTGAAAGAATTAGCCGCTGCGGCAATATATCTATACGACACGTACCGTTATTTTCTTAATGTGCACGAGAACAAAGTTATCAAAAAAAATTGGCGTAAAATAAGAAAACTATATAGTTAACGTAAAATAAGAAAACTATATAATGTCCTAAGTCAAGTTAGTATTCTTTAAACAAAAATAATTAAATAATTATAATTAATATTTCCATAAATAATGAAATAAATAAATATTTATTAATTAATTATTAAAAATAAACAAATAAAAAATATGTTCTAATTTTAGTAGCTTCATTATAAGGCCACATGACTGCCTCGTTAGTCTAGTGCAGAGTTCCCCAAACTTTTTTGTTTCGTAGACCCCTTGCCATGTTTTTCCGTGTTTGGTAGACCGCCTGCTTACCTGATATTGATTTCCTGTAAATTTCTAACTGTAGTGAAGTTTAGTGTTAAAAACTTAAAGTATAAACGCATGTTAATTTACACATTTATTAATTGAATTTAAATTAAAACTACTCAAAATAAAATTTTGTATCTGTTATGTAAAATATACGTATTGAATAAACATAAAATAAACTATAAATAAAATAACATAAGCAATAAGTCAATATTTTTAGTGAGAAGTATGAACCTGATGCTTTAATAATAAATTATCAACATTTGGCGTTAATTTTGTAAGGGTTAATCTTAAATCTCCTCGGCCAACGAAGTCCAGTCTCTTTCTTTTTTTCGTTAGGAGATTGGTAACAGCGTTGAACCGCCTTTCCACTAGGTATGACGATGGAAACGGAATTAAAAGTTTCCTCGCTATATTCCATAATACGGGATAAGTAACGGGTATGTTGTTTTGCAGCCAAAATTGCTGATATCCGATTTTAAACTGAACCTTAAGTTCTTTGTTTGTACTTAGTTCAGTCAGTTCCTCTTGTATTATGACATTCGTTTCTTCTATGTCACCATATAGATTGATTATCCACGGTGGTATTACCATAGGCAAAATATCCTCAAACCTAAATTCAAAATCTGAATAGAGGGCATTTAAATGTTGAACGTAAGTTGAAACGTCGTCTTCCAGGCAGCTTATATGTGACAAATTGGGGAACTGAGAAAATACGCCCCGTCCAGTATTTTGCTTCATTAGTTTAACTCTGGCAAGAAACGCTGATAGGATGGACTTTGTTTTAATCAAATTTAAACTGTTGCCTTGTAATTGCAAATTAACCATATTAAATTTTGTAAACAAATCTGTTAAATAGGCGATGTCTGTTTTCCTCTTCATTAAATTTTCTTTTAAAATTTTATCTTTAGTATCCAGAAATTCTAAAATAGTTTCAAAAAGTGCAAAAAATCTTGTCAAACATAAGCCTTTCGACAGCCAGCGTACTTCAGTGTGAAGGAGTAATTGATGAAAGTGTTCGTCATTTTCTTCACACAACTGCGCAAATAACCGCGTATTCAACGCGTTGCTTCGGATTCGGTTTACGGCATCAATGACTAAATGAAGTGATTCATGCAATCTAACACTAAATGTTGTCGATGGATGACGCAATGTATTGCTAACACCCCTGACACATTTTGTTTTAAATAGCTTATAAATCCACGATAACGTCCAATCATGGCAGGTGCTCCATCTTTAGCTACTGATATTATATTTGATTAAGGAATTGCTTTTTCATTGAAGTAATCCTTCAAAACTTGAAATATTGATTCACCTTTAGTGTCGGTTATCAAAGTTCTTGTGAAGAGCAGTTCTTCGTAGATTTCTTGATTCATAATAAAACGAACATACGCCAATAATAATGCTGCATTATCAGGTAAAGTTGACTCGTCCAGTTGTATAGAGAAATGAGTCGTTTGCAAATAATTACATAAGAAGCTTTTAATATCAGAACTCATTTCATCAATACGTCTTTCAACAGTATTGTTGCTTAAGGGAATTCTTTTAATGATATCAGATGCAGGTTTGTGTAAAACAGTTTTTAAAACCTCTTCAACGCCTGGCAAAATTAACTTCTCTCCGATAGTATGCGGTTTTCCGGATTTTGCTATAAGTAACGAGATATTGTAAGACGCCCGCAAACGGTCATCATTTCTTTGTGACGTCGAAGCGAACATTCTGTCCAGTGTAGGTCTCTTCTGAAGTTTATCTTTGAGTGTTTGAAAATATTTCAAATCTTTCTCTGTTTTATCAGGGTGGCATCTTCTCAGATGATCTTGCAGTTTAGATGGTTTCATAGCGTCATTGCCTAAAACTTTGTTGCATAAAAGGCACATAGGCTATTGTTTGTCCGGCAATGATGGAATGAAGCCAAATTTCAAATAATCGACACTGACTGTCTACATTTCTTTTTAGATTCGGACATGGCATCAGTCATCTATGGGCAAAATTAAATTATTTAAGTAAGACAGAAAATCCATCAGCTGTATATTAAATTTTTTTGATTTTTCCGAAAACATTCCATAATTCGAACATCTTCTTGCAACAATTAGCTCGAATTACGGAGATTGCACTGTAATTATAATACCGATTGCTAAAACTTTCAAAAAGAAACTATTGAGGAGTACTCATGTAATTTTGCATGATTGAATATTAAACTACTAATAACTAAAGTCATGATTGGCGTAATTTATCTATCTTTGCTAACTACGAGTACAAAACTAAAATTTATTAAAAAATAATATACTTACTTTTCTCCAGCACTCTCAAACAAAATAACACTGACTCACTATAATTTGTGTGATATACTATCTGTTTATATATTTTTTTTAATATTTTCTTAACACTTTCCTTTTCAAGATTCAGGAAACGAATAAACGTATTTGTCCCACATTTGTATTTATAGAGTGACGAATTGAACAAGTCAGTGCAAGGTAGCGAAGCTCTGAGACTGCGACTCTCAGGTTTTTACAAGTTCAAAATGTATTGCGACCACAAAGTGAATACCAACATCCTACAACTTACACAATTTTATAAACACATATAATAATTTTTTTTTTACTTCATGGGTACTTTTATAAATAATGTATACGTTTTGATATTATAAGATAGTATGATGTAAGTAAATAGGTACTATCGGTGTATGTGTTGAAATCCACTATCGTGGACCCCCATTTTCATTTCATGGACCCCCAAATTTTTTTTCGCTGACGTAGACCCCTTGCAGGTTGTCATAGCCCCTAGGGGTCGATATAGACCACTTTGGGAATCACTGGTCTAGTGGTTGTAGTAGTGCGACTGTTCATCGTGAGGTCCTGGATTTGAATCCCGGGTCGAGGCTAAAATCAATTATTGAGTTTTTCTGTCAAGAAATTCCCAGTAGCTGCCCAGAGTCAGGAAGTTGGCGGTGTCTCACCCCCGTGCCTCAGAAAGCACGTAAAGCCGTTGGTCCTGCGCCTGATCTCTCTCCGGTCGTGTCGGTTTACCGTCCCATCGAATTATGAGAGTGAGGGAATAGAGAGTGCACTTGTGCTTGCGCATATGCTTGGGCACTATGATCCTGTTCTGCGCAGATGGCTAGCCTCCGTTGAGGCAGGACGAACTTGAATGGGCCACGTGTAGAATGTAGATGCATACTGCCATAGCTGGCCCACTACCTTTGATATGCGGCGGAAAAAGCAACACCATCGCCTTACTCAAGACCATCACACGCACCACGAGCTATCCGACACCACCACACCTTCCACATTCTGGCCCATCATAGTGGTCCATCGCGATGGTCCATCGTGTAGATGAGCTATTACGTTGATAAGTTGCCTAGTTTTTTTTATTAAAGTTGCGAAAGTTCAATTGATTTTTCTTAAATTACCAAAAAGCAATCAGTTAATTCCTTAGACCATTCAACCTAATGGACACACCTCGCATG